CTTTCAAGAGTCCTATCAGGACCCCTGCCTGTGATCTTTTTCAGGTATTTAATATGAACTGACATGCCCTAATGCTTGCATACTTACACAACAATCTGTCAAATTTTCCATACACTCTTAACAGCCTGTAAATTCACTCCTAACAACACCCCCTCCACTCTTCCAGTATAGGCCAAAAGGGTGATTATTTACAATACCATGCTTGTGGAACATTACTATCTATGAATCTTACAATTGTTTGGTGAAAAAAATTAGGGGACCCTCAAGGTTTGAGTAGAACACAACAGTGATATCCTATCCCTAGTGCATACTCCAACCACCTAGTGCATACTTTTTGCAGGGTAACATTACTTGAAAAGTTTATACTGCAGATTATTACTACGTAATCAATGTTTAAAGTGGCTTGTGCTAGTAAGGGTTTCGCATATAGTTGCAGTCTGCGTAATGGATTTCTAAATGGTGGCTAAGCGAGCTTGTTGATACGTACACATAGTTACTTCGAAGAGCGCAGAGATGGGACACAGGATAGACCACGCAATACAGGTACTGTGTAGTATGCTTTAAACCACGAGCAACTATGTGCATGAAATGTTTTTAAACTTGATATGCACCCAGTACATGGTCCTAAGAGAATACTCCAGTAGCATTTGTGCCTTTTGTTTTTCGTGGCTGCTTTAAACAACGAAGTCATTATGATAATCACACGTTCTGATGGCCAGTGGCAATGCACATTTGTACCATGAAATACTGCGATATTACATATTGTATTGTGAAGCGTGTATACTAGACGCGTGTATTTGTAAAGCATGAAAATTATTTTTGAGCAGGCACGTGGCTTTGTGGTAGAATGCCTGCTTGCCACACAAGCAGCTTGGCTTCTATTCTCACTCAGACCTAGAAGGTTTTATTTGTTATTCTTTTTATTTCCATGTTTTTATATAATAGACCAGATGTAAAGTGAACATGGAGAATTCCATGCACCAAAAAAATGCCAACACTGTAGCTGTACAGGTGGAATCACACTTGTCCAGAGCAGCGGAGCGCATGGCTCTTGTTAGTGACGGCTTCTACGTCACCTTAGCTACATGCTTCTGTTCACGCTTAAATTATTGCACAAAGGCCTAGCACGCCGTATGCCATGTTAGATATTTATACGGCGTCGGCATTAACATATTTCTGCAGAAAACAGCAACTGGAGCGGTCGGCTAGGTGTTTTAGACAAGTGTGATTCGATCTCTAGAAATATTAAGTGATTTAACACTCCAAATTTAATTTTGTTGTGTTCGATTCAACAGTCATGATTTGCAAAACTGTATATGTTTTAAAAGTTTACAAATGTTTTAAAATGTTAAGTACACCAAAATAAAAGAAAACTTGTGCAACAGTACGAGACACAGCATCCGCCCTGGCACATTAAAAGAAAAAAGACTTGACAAGTTGTGTAGCGCAGCTGGCTACTCAGCTCCAGGAATGTGCTTGTACCAATGAATACTTACCCTTTCTTAAGGGTTCTGTGAATTTCGAGGGCCTGATTATTTCCTACAGCCAATCAATTTTTTTAATGTACATTTCTTTTATGTCACTGGAAAGCTCGTAATTCAGAATGTCTAATCACGCATTGGCAACACAAAAAAGGCAATGAAACAGTTTTCACGAACCGTTGTTGCTGATGGAGTCTTATATGCAACACATGTTGAAAACAGTGGCCTACAGCTGTTCACTGCATTGGTACCAAATTCTGCCATGACAGAGTGCATGAGCAAAGTGCTGGAGAGATGGTGTGTGCATGCACTGTGGTTCAATGCAGGTTTTTTGTTGCTGTGGAGGAAGCTCCACTGCTGAGCATCAATTTCTTAACCTTTTGATGGTTAATAGGATGAATGCATCCCACTTTTTCCTCAGTAAAACTTTCTCTGCCACTTTACGTTGCCATCAGCACAATGCCTTCCAGTTGTGGTGTACCAGAAACATTAAGGAAACTGAGAAACTATATATTGCACATTTACAATGCATGGTATCAGTGATACGTTGAGTTTAAAATCTTTTATTCTGTTAATATTTTTTTTTCAGCCGGTGTCATATTGCGTACCAGGTAGCTAAAGTTTCAAATTTATGGTATTCTTCTGTTCAGATTTTTTAAAGAATTTTAGCATGCAACTATAGATTTTCTTTCTAAATTGCAAAAATTATATCTGCCTAAAATCATTGTGGAAGTGCACTCGAATGAAAAATGAAGCAGTTCCTTGCATAGCCTAACAACATAGCATACATGCATAACTGTTTTTTCATGTTTGATGGATGCCACAAAACAGCACATTCTTTGATATTTTTTATCATTATGAGGAGAGGCAATGAGACCAAAAGCTGTGGCTAAGACACTGTTGCTAAAATTTCGTGCCAAAGGAAAAATATGGCAAAATTGCTGCTTCATACAGCCAGGAAGCCAAAGAGAACACGAATTTTCAAGATCATCAAATCATGCAAGATATATGAGAAAAGCAAATATGTCACACCTGAATAGAGTTCACGAATATGATGCAGCATTTGTTAACACACTTACAGCATTCAGTGCATTGACACCACGTCAAAGTGGCTTGCCATGATTCATTACCACAATTTTAATTATTTGCGAAAATGCAGGCTTAACTGAGATGTTCGCCCTTATTCATTGCAGATACAAGACAAGACATGCATAGACACAGCTTCGTTAAATGTGAATGAAAAGCAATATTCTCCTTTTTCTTTATTTTCATATGAATGCAGTGCACTCATCTATGCCTGCTGTTTTCTCCTTGTTTTCGACGAGTTTCAATATTATCGCCACCTACCGACAAGACAGACACAAGCTGAAAGGGTACGTGTATGTGAAGACCTTGGGACAGAGCCGCTAGACTCAATGCCACAGGCAGAGGCGCAGAATTGCGTAGAAAATCTGAAATTAAGGTTCACTGCAATTTTTCTCCCACAGTTTTAGAAGTGTTCCTCTGTACTGCTTCCATTGGGCCTTTTTGGGCAAGAAATTTGGCAGCAGAATTACAGCTTAGTGCCCTTATGAGACAATGTGACATGTGTTGCCCCACTTATTCAAAGATGCTTCATGGGTCGATGAGCCACATGCGTCCCACTTTTTTCTCATAAACTGATGGCCATATTTTAGTGAAGATTGTGTCACACTATTTTTAGGCATGAAGTTCTGCAAATTTCTGTTATTATGTGAAAAATATCGATGAATTCACGAAGGGTAAGTTAAATTGCATAATAAGCAAAATTGAAAGTGAGAATGCAATATATATACTATATAATTTTAAGCCAGATTAACGATTGTCTGAGCTGCAGCAGGCAACGTGCAGAAATTCTCCAGAACTCGATACTAAGCTTTTGCCACGAAGCGGTGTAATGGCACAGCTGCTGTGATTTTCAAACACCATTTCAAAATACATATACAACTCAAATTACTCAAGGGAAAGGGAGCTTGACTTTATCATACTTCTGCATGTTTCCAAATAAAGAAAGATCTATTTACACTTCCTGGCCAGTTAATTGCTGTACCCCTAAACAGACATAAAAGTGAAAACCATGACATTTGGTAGTCTAACAATGGACCTAGGGATTTCAACATCACACCAATGTGATTTGGCATAAGCTGTAAAAGCTTATTCAATCAGTCATACATTGTTACCCTTTTATGCCAGTTTTAACGCGATAGTTTTAAAAATCTCGTGGGCATCGTTGATTGTGAGTGATGAACCTTGTGAGCAACCGGAAAAATTAAGAAAGATGCAAATAAAATAAGTAATAAAAAATTTCCCAGTTTGCGGGAGGATCAAGCCCAGGCCGTTTGCATGGCAAGCAGGCGTTCTACCCCACAGCCACACATCTGCTTGGAAATTAAGGAATATAACTTCATCTACTTGAAAATGTAGTGAAAATAATGTTAGGCTTTGCAAACACATGTGTCCTGTATACTGCCTTCACAATTCAATATGTAATATCACAGTAATATTTCTTGATACAAGTGTGCATTGTAATCAGGCATCAGAACATGTGATTATCTTTAGGACTTCATAGTTAAAAGGTGGCCAGCCTTAACAAAACGCGCACATTTCCTTCAGACCACATAGTGAGTGCATACCAAGTTCGAAAATATTTCATGCACCAAGTGCTTGAAGTACGCACTAGGGCCAGGGTATCATTATCGTGTTCAATTCTTGAAATCGAACCTTAAGGGTCGCCCAATTTTTCTTTTTTAAGTGATGGAAATGAAGCATTATTCTAACCATGTTTTATGCCAGCAATTAGACTAGTAGGTTAGCTCAGTGAGCCATTTTTGCATTTATATCAGGTTTATTTGACTCAAGACAAGCAATATTATTTTCAAATGGCACTGTATGCCAAAGACCTGACATGGTGTCTATTGTTGGACGTTAATCTTCAGGTATCCTCGGCCCTCCCTCTTTCCCTCGTTGAAAGGCCTGTTTTTTGTTTAAGAAAAGGTGACAACCCTGGTGGCCGCAAAGTGTGAAAACAGTATAAAAATATTGAAGCAGGTTGTGTAGACAACAATCTACAGACAGTGAGTGGCATACAGAATTGACTTGGCTGTCTTTAATGTGTGTGTGGGGGGAGGGCATAAAAAAAGCTTCTACAGGGCCAAAACAGATGCCGTAATTGCAGTGGCAACTATGCAAAGGGGCAGCTGGAAAGTCTGCTTAAATCTTCCAAACATGAGCGTCTTGAATTCGCTGTAGTTTTATCTCGAACAAATTAGGACTTGAAAAAAAAAAAAAGAAAACCTAGTCCTCATATATTTGAAACAGGCACATATTGCAAGAAGGCTGTTGATAAACCAGGAACAAGTTTAGCCATTCCTTCATTGTTGTCAATTGTGAGCACACAATACATACCACAGCGATACTTTTGGGAAGCACACCTTGATGTGACCGAGGTTAGGGGCACAGGCTTTCACCCAGGTGCCGGGGAAGAAGATACCTTTGAGAGGCTTCTTGACGACAGAAACACACGATTTATTTACATATTTACAGGTGTAAAAAACACAAGGCGTCGAGATGCGCTTTTACAGGAGACAGGACTGGCCGTAACGAAAGCACAAAGAGAGCCCTGAGCGCACATGCGACGCGCTTTTCATATCCTCGGTACGCGCATGCGCCTCTCCTCAAACATGAACTGTCTGTCCCAGCAACGCTGATGCGTGTTCCCTGCAGCACACCCAGACACCTCTTGCGTTTCTGCTGGGCGCGTACCACATTTGGCTGGTACGCCAATGAGCGTCTATTGCAGACTTGGTCCTTGCACTGCCAGTCATAACATTTGAATGGATACTGGCAAGCTAACTGGCACCTCCGAACCTGTGCCGCTTTAGAAGACGGGTCCCATCTGCAATGAACCACTTCTTAGCAGCAGAAGAAAAGAAAACAAGAATACTTCTTGTTTTTTTTTTTTTTTTGCTTACCCGAGGCAATATTTGAACCAGCGAATTGAAAGCTGAGCATAATAACTCTTCAGCTTTTTATGCATGGTGACAGAAGAAATCATAGCCTTAAATAGTAAATAGTATAGGGGATGGGAAAGGCAAGGGAGGATGAAAAGGGGAGAGTGAAAAAGAAGAAGGGAGAACCATTAGAAAGAGGAGAAAGAGAAAAAAACAAGGGGAGAAACCAATTGCGTAGAGAGAGCAAAAAATACAAATATATTAATTAAAAAAAGCAGGGTTGTGCAAATATTCATGCTTCGAATATTTGAAGGAACAGTACTGTATTCAAACTCGCTTCGACTCGATTTTAAGTTATTAAAAATTTTGAAGTATTTGCAATGAACAAATAAATAACATTGATCTGCACATAACCTACTGTGAAGGTGATTTCACTGAAGCATAGAGTGCTATGCTGTGAAAGCACCTATCCAAGAGAATTCGCACTGCCGCAAAACCTCTTCAAAGTTTAAGGGGCACTGCAACTCTTATTGAATATGGTCGTAAAATGCGGCCAATCGGTAGTCAAGACTCCCGAGAACAGGTGAGCCAAATATTGTTGTGCAGCACAAGGCCACAATTTCTCAATAAATGTTCAAATTCACCTGAAAATTGCTTTCCTTTCACTCGACAAATTGCGCTACAAGCTCAAAAATTACCCATTACAGCCATTGTATCAGCGATTGGCTGATTCGAGCATGGCACGTTGGACGTTAATGGGGCCAGGCTCACTTGGACTATGATCGAGTCGTGAGTTTGAGTGAGTACAGCTGAGTAATATTACATGAGTTTGAGTTAGAGTGAGTGTGGCTAAGGAAAATTTTAATGAGCTTGAATCCGAGTGAGGAAAATATTTGCAAGTCTGAGGTGATGAGCCCTAAGCTCAACGTGTATTTCTTGGGTGAGCCTTAGTGAGCACCACATTTTATTTCTGACCTATGTTCCTATATACCCGCCTATCAGCATAACTATCGACATCATATTTGCTTACATTGCTAATCAAGTCTGTTCAAGCATACATCAACACACAACCGTTCATGCGGTTATTGCACAGAGGTGCAAGTTAGGAGATAAGGGGGTCGCCAAGACCTCCCTTCACAAACTCGCTCATGGGATATTCATGGCAAAAATTTCTGATGTGAGCTGCATATTTCATAAAAATATTCTTACTGGATTGCGACTAGTGACAGCTGTTCGCTCACTCAGACACAGGTCAAATCGCGAGTCTGAGCGTGCCGAACTGAGTAATATGTTGGTAAGTTTGAGCCTGAGTGAGAGTGGTTGACAAACAGTTTAGCGAGTCCCAATTAGTTCTGTTGAGCTAAATTTAAGTGAATTTGAGTCCAAGTGAGTTTCCATGGTGAAATGTATTTCTTGAGTGAGTTTAAATAGGTTCCACTTTTTCTACCGGCCTATGGCTGCTGCTCTCAAACATCAACACTTAATCCTTGGGCAGCATTGAAGCAGCTGCAGCCATTCAGCCCTCATGCCTGCGATGCAGGATCGTTTTACTGAGGCAGGGTCTCGTTTCAGGAAAGGATGAGCCAGTTTTTCACACACAAATGTCAAACATTTAAAATTAAAGTAATTTTAAATAAAAGCAAAACAATCACACTGAAACTGCACCCATTACCAAACTACTAAGACAAGCATAGCTTTGTAATTAAATGAAGTTCTGCTGAACATTTGAAACAAAAACAGTCACTAGTAGTTTTAATGCTGGTGTCATCCACAGTGGCAGACTCATTCTTTGCAGGTGTATTTGTTGGCTGAAGCAGATGAGAAGCCCAATTCACCCATCAGTAATGGGCAGAAGTGCTTCAGTCACAGTGTGAAAACAATCTCCAAATGTGAGCAGAGAGATAAGAACATCTGATAGATAGAGCTGCAAGAGACAGGATGTCTCTTGCAGCTTCTGTTTATTCTTTCTTTGTCTAGTTGTAGTGCTGTTTATAGCAAGTTCACGACGTATTAACAAGCCTGCATTAACACTTTATATCAGACAGATCTACCCATGCATGCACCATGGTGGCTGGTCACTGCACCATCGTGGCTGGTGACCAGAAGCAGGAACCCGCTCGCCAACCTAGACGACTGAGTCAGCCTCCCAAAGGCAGGTCAGGACCAGGACATGATGGCTGGCAGCAGGTCCTTATTATGGTCTCGTGAATGGTAACCAACATGAGCACTGCACTGATGTTACACGCACATCACAATGTCTAAGTATATGCACTGACTTAAATTTCAGTGATGTGTAAAAACCACTGGCCGCTAACAGCAGCAAAAATGTGGTTGTCACTAATATAAACGATGACTATATGCCTGTTGGTCCGCGGGCATAACTGCCTGTACCATGATATGAAGCAGCTTTGTGCAACTTCACATCATGGAACGTTTCTCTATCCGCCACCCGAGAACGCGCTCTGTAGCGGTCAGGCTCCGCCCAGAGACTTAGACAATATGAAACTAATACAGGCCATGCTGAACTGCTGCCTCAAACTGCAGCCAGTCTAATGGAATCAAACTTTGCCATAGCAAACATTTAGGCTTTTACGAGAAGTGATGCTGTTTTCTAGGGAATGTTTAGAATATGAACTATTTGTTAATGCATTAGGAACATCTTACATTGTAATACAATCACATAAAATTTATTTACAGTTGGAAAAGTAAATTTTCACCAGCTGCCCGCATTAGCTTTCATTTTGCCGAAGTATGTGTTTCCACATAGCACAGTTCAGAAAATGAAGTCAGGCATTCAATCACAAAGGAACAAATTTTCTTCATCTGAAAGGGACGCTAAAGGCAAAAAATTTCTCTTGTTCGAATGATGAGTGAAAGTTTAAGAATGCCTAAACGTCAGTATTATCCACAGGGCTTAGTTCACCAAGAAAGAAGTAAATGTATGATAAGGCTCCAGTCACCCACGCCATATTCTGCGAACTCTGTAACTCTATAAAATGACGTAGTCGAGTCCCAGATAAAGTAATTACTGAAACTGTCCACAGTAGAAAAGACGATTTCAGCGCATTAAAATCTGGTATGAAATGCTTATTTTTTTATAAGTAAGGTTTAACGTCTCAAAACCAGCATATGATTATGAGAGACGCCGTAGTGGAGAGCTCCGGAAATTTCTACCCCCTAGGGTTCTTTAACGTGCGCCCAAATCTGGTATGAAATGCTGCTTGGTTCTTTCTATTTCTTTCTTTGAACTAAGAGCCGCTGACAAGACTCATGGCTAGCTTCAATCATCCCCCAAAAACGTGGGGGGGGGGGGGCAGTGAAAGTTCTCTCAAATTACCTAGCTGTGCCACAGAAGCCGCTCCGAAGCTACTGACCGGTGTCTGCTCATAATAGCAAAACTTTCCTTCTACCACGCCTGCTACTACTGTATTTCATGCCACCTAAGGGACAAAATGTCAAGAAGACCTACTTGGAAAGTTGTTTAAATATCAGTTGTAGCATGCTGACCACTTCATATATAACTTCTTTTTAAACAAGGCATTTTCTTAGCACGGAACAAACAGTGCACCACAAACAGTGTACCAACAGTATGCCTTTAGGGCCCCTTTAAAAGGTTTCATATATTTATATACTTAAACATCTAAAAAGGTTGCAACATGCTAGGATGCTCATGGTCCCTAAAATATACCGCAAAAATAATAACTTTCTGGCCTTCGTTATTTACAAAGTTCATTTTATTGACCGTTAGGCATCAAAATTTATTAACTTTTCCTCAGACCACTTAGTTTTTAAAAGCAAGGGGCATATAGTATAATGGTTTGCATTATTTTCTGGATAAATAACGCCTGTAGAAAGTTATCTCACTGGATAACACGGACCAAAGAATGTCATTTTAAAATTCTTTGTGGGGCAGAAAAACTAAGAATGCTAATGATGATGACCGGGTATATTAATAACCTAGAGTTGTAATCTATAGAAAGGTCTCAAATCAGCAGCTATAGAACTATATGGTTTCAGGTTAAGGCCGATGTTTTTAATGGTTTAAACGTGTAATATTACTTTGGAACAAAAAAGCAACTTGACTTTGGTTTTACCCTGGGCACTTGCATTGTAGCAATAAGGAAATGCACCATCTCATTGTCTGCAAGACATGATATTAAATGCCTGCGAATTAAGGTCTTATCAAAAGCAACGGTGCACGGGTCAATGCCAGATGCAATGGTGAATGCATTAGCAATGGCAAAAACGCCACAGTCATAACAGTTTTCTTGACGCTGTACTGCCTTAGCGTGAATGGTGAGAGTATTAGAAGCTAGACTCATTATGTTCATAACTTGAGTTGCTACACTTGGCATAATGTCCTGGTCTAACGAATCATACAGAAAAACACTGTTTGTAGGGGCACCATAATTTGTCACTGTAACCCAATGCCCAGGAATATGCAGAATTTGAATAAAGTTGTCTCGCTTCTCAAATGTCAAGCTCTCCCCAAGAAGAACATCCTGATAATTGCACAGACCAGGAAACTGACGCGAAATAATAAATTGCGCTGCATTTACGATTGCATCTGACAGCCATCTCGTGCCTCGTAAGGCCACTAAATCAGAGGAACTTATTTTGTACGGTTTGCAATTATTTGGACCACAAATCGCGTCAGCTATGGGGTCACTAATTTCTTCCACTGTTCTACCAACGACTGTCACAGGTACCTTCTCTTTAAATTGAGAGTTTTTCAAAACATGCAAACGTAGTCTTTTTTCTCCCCGCTTCGTATCATGTGCACATCTCTTACGTGGTCGGCCGCGAGCGGATTTAGCTAGAGGTATGCTAAGCGCTGTTAGTTGCTGTGCAAAATCACTAGGCGAAGAGCTAGTGTCCGATGTCTTTGCTAGAGCCTGACATACCTTATCATCATGCGAGGCTATAGTAAAGTTAATTTCATCTTTTGAATCAGATTTAACTTGACCAGATTGCACTTTCAGTTCCAATTTATCTTCTGTGGAGCCCTTCTTCATAGTGTCATCATCTACAGACTTGGCCAATAGATAGTCGTTCAGGTCTACACTCCACGAATTACTTCTTTTGACTTTTCTAAGCTCTTTCCTTCCCCACTAACTTGTTCATTACTTTGTGCTATTTTAGGAAGGGGTGAATCATGTTTCTTATTTCTAGAGTAAGTAACAAGATTTTGGAAAAAGTCCTCACACTCGCTCAATTTTTCGCAAAGTTCAGTTGCGCTACATTGGGCTAGTACATTAGCAGCTTCCTTTGAAAGTTCCAACAGACGTGCATATGCATATTTATATCTGGCCCCTGAGTTATCAAGTCTTGGCTGTACCATTTTTACCATGCTTGTGGTTAAAATGCTTAGTTTGTCTGGTGACCCTGTCTGGTCGGTCTGCACAAAATCAGGTTTAAGCCAGCGCTTTTACACACAACTTTCATCAAACAGTTCCATATTATTTTTTGATCTAGCTGCAAGAATGTGCCTGCAGGGCAGCTGGTACTGCGCATTAAATGTGTATATGCATGTCCTCATATTATTAGTAACTTCATAAAGCTTATGCCAACAAAAACGGTGCATTTGCCATCAGAGAAAACACAGTCTCCTGGATATTTCACAAACAGCCCATATTCTTTGCATATCAATTTTCTAGCATATTCGGTGCATTTTGCTGACACCTCAATGCAAAACTTATCAGTCTTACTGGTGTCAATGCAAGTTCTCATTTCTTTATATTGCATATGGCTGAGTGCTAGAACATCGTGGGAGTCACATACCTTATCAGAGCTTTCACTGCTTCCACTAAGTGCATGTCACATGTTAGATAATTTTTTAACTTTTGATTATGGCTTTCCATTCGATTGTTAGTATTATTTCCTAAGCTACATGCATTTGCACGATAAGCACGAACCCACATGATCTTGCAGCTCTGCCAATTTTTATAAAGGTAGTTCAGGAGGGCTTTGTCATCTTCAAGTGCTTCTTCCAAGTCCTGCAAGTGCTCTTGATATATATCTACAGTATGTGCAAAAACCAGTTTCATAATTATATCTTTAACATACTTCTTATCTAGACTGTTTGACTTACGCTGCGTCACTTTGGTGTGTAAGTACTTTATGCGTGCCACGAACACAATAAGATTCTACATTTGGGCAGAAGCTGCTTAATTACATTCATTTTATTTAAATCTTTGTCAATTACCACGATTTTGCACTTCTCCTCTACGACATAATTCAAACAAAGGAATGTCTCTAGGAAAGACTTTAATATTTCTGATGTCTCCCGCTGAACAAATGCATAACATACAGGCCTCCCATGGCTTGTTCCATCTTCACACAGAATTGAATGCAAGATATACCCTTCTTTATTAACTTTATACGTACCATCAAAGAACAGCACTTCAGGGTATTTTTCTAGTAACTGGGCCATATGCTCTGATTGAAGCAATATGTACAAGAGACCATTTTCTGTATTCTTTTCAATATGAACCTTCCACCTAGAGTTTTCTGAAAACAATTAGGTGATTTTTTCTAACAGAAGGGCTCCATGATGAGCAGTGTCCTGAATTTTTTGAACTGTTCTATGCTTCATGTTTATAATATCACGAGAAGTAGCGTGTTTTCCTGTTTTCCTCAGAATGGCATTCTTTAGGTCTTTAGGTTTCACATTACAAGAAATCAACTCCTGAAGTTGCTCTTTTTCAGAAGCACTTAATGCTCGATTATTATTGTACCATACAAAAATCTCGGGACCTATTTCATGGTTGTGCACATCCGCTAAATTTACAACTTCATAATAGGGCTGTAGAGAAACCCGCAGCGCAAGCTTAAGTTCAACGTTGCAACCTGTACCGTTGAAGCGTTGATTGGGTCAAATATTTTGTCCCCTCGGATTTGGATGCCCTGCGTGGCAACAGACAAATTTAACTCGAACATAAGGAAAGTCTGCTTTGTTTAAATCTTTCTCAGTACACAATGGGTTTTTATCTGATTTTTCAATACGCATCGGATGGAACCCTTCACTTTTCCATCCTTCAAAGCTAGCTTTAAACTCCTTATAAGTGCTGAATGTGCTCCCTACAGAAAGATTTCCTCCACCTGTGCAAATATGGCTGTGTGACAATTTTGCTGAAGTTGCTTTCTGCTAACCACGAGGTGTGGAAGCGCTGGTGTCAGCTGCACTGTTGCCCTTGCACAGAACCACACCTTCTTACTGGGGGCTCACCGTGGATGTTACGCCGCAGGCGTCGGGTGGCCCACAGTCAGAAGGTGGGCTTTGCTCAAAAGCAGCAGAGCACAGTGGCACGGCAGTACGCCCAGTCTTCGTCACTTTGTGGTGCACACTCGCACCACTGACAAGAGCAGGAGAAACTGGTTTCTTGTTACTGTGCCCTGTCCTATTTTCGACTCTAACCCCCTTTTCTACACGGAGATCACCACGAAGTGTGGAAGCGCTGGTGTCAGCTGCACTGCTGCCCTTGGACAGAACCACACCTTCTGACAGGGGGCTCACCGTGGATGTTACGCCGCAGGCATCGGGTGGCCCACAGTCAGAAGGTGGGCTCTGCTCAAAAGCAGCAGAGCAAAGTGGCACGGCAGTACGCCCAGTCTTCTTCACTTAGTGCTGCATCCACACACCACCGACAAGTGCAGGAGCATGCTCAGGGTGCCGTTTTACTTGAACGAAAACAGTCACAGCTGGAGCCCTGGTGCATGCCACTGCAGTTATTGGCAGTGAAGGGTACCCATGAGCAGTGTCTGTTTCTGCGACCTTAGGTGTCACTGACATCGCACTGTGACATTGTATGGTAGCAGAATCAGACTTCCGTGCAACGTCCGACCACATTTCCTTGCATGGAGATGCAGGGGCTACAACAAGCATAGGGTCTGTGGAAAGAGCTGGGAAATTAGTTACATTATTCCAATACTGTGCCAGCCCTTTTGACTGATCACTGTACTGGAATTGAAGCTTCTGGTGGTCCTTTTCTTTCTGGTGCTGCTGCTGTAATGCTCCATTGTGGCTTGCCTCAAGGTCCTTGCTTGCTTGCTTGATGGCTGCACGTAGCAGGCACGCCAACAGCTGGAACACAGAGGAACACATTTACAGTTGAACCCCTCCATAACAGAAGACCCGAAGAATGAAGTTCTCATAGCAATGAAGAAATATAACGTCCATGATGAACATTCATTGAGTACAAGGTGTTTGCTCTCTCTCAACAGCGAAGAGATTTTAAAAGCACTCCCAAAATACATGTTAGTAATATGCGACTGTTTTAGACCCTTAAACTAGGTGAGGAAGTAGATGTAAAAAAATTGCAGCGGCGCTCATTTCACAAGTTGGGCACTTGTGTATTTGCCAAAAGGCGTTGGTGCAACCATTGCTGTTTACGTTGTTGAACAATGATGATAGCAAAATGACATCTTTTTCTTCAAAAGAAGACTTTTTGCTAATGTTTCTGTTGGTAACTATGTCAGCACATGACATATAAATTGCCATAATTTCGATAGATGTTCTGTAGACTGCCTAACTTTTTGCTGATGTGCTTCTGTCCAAACGCATGCCAAGACCTTACAGAAATTGCTTACGTACAGTGTTGTTTGGCATTTCAGCTTCAATGGAGCGACACCAGGTGCTGTTGGTCTACATGACTTTGTGTGAGCTGATGCCGACCTGATTGCATGCGAGGAGTTCTGCAATTTTCAGGTAACTCAGAAGGCAGCCACGTGACCCAAAATTTTTTCTCTGAGAAAAATTTTACCAGTTCACTATTTTAAACACAGTGCTCTAGCAAGATTTTTTTTCCCAATACATTTAAGATGGTTGCCAAAACGGCTGGGACGTTCGATGTATAATGATCCAATTACACAGATGACTTGCAGAATTTCTACTTTATATATCAGACATTGCTGCCCTGTTTTGGAAACAAGTAAGGCATATCAGACATCTCATTTTCAGTATTTCAATTAAGAGAATAAAATGGGCTAACATGGGTTTGATGAAATATGATCTGTGTTCATAACAATAACAGTAACAGTAGTATTGATCTTTCTTTTGATGCACAATAGGAAATTCACATTTACACCAGATGCTTGTGAACTCATGGCAGAGATAATGCACATAAGGGAGGTAACCTCACTGGCCTCCTTAGTAGTTCTTGTCAGATTGCTTATTCTGCACTTCTGAGTAAAGGAGCTGCTGTTCCATAAAGGCTGTGCACCAGTGAGCTTACCCGTTGGCGCCTCTCAAATATACTGTGGTAATGAACGCACAGTAAAACCCGCTTTTATCATTGGTAGCCGAAGTCGAAAATAGTCCCACTGCACGCGTCATTTCACTCTAATCAAATCATTTCGGAAGGCTCTACATGTGCAAAACATGACCAACAGGCAGCCGCTCGATTCCGACGATCTAAGCATGCAACTTAAGTTCAAAGGTCGTCCGTGGACCTGCAGTGCCAACATAACGAATTAACTCGGGAAAAAACGAAAAAGGCCGTAGCGGAATGCCGCTAACCAAATTCTCCAACGTCCACGTTTACGTGGCCTTCACCGCGCGGTACCACACTGCGCGGAAATTATACGTAGGACGACTATCACAGCTACACACGCCTAATTTCACCTAATTTTATATTCCGCGGGCGCTTGCGATGAAGCACGTGCACTGTAGCGCTGCAAGCACGCTTGCGTTTTCTTGGAGGATTGAATTCGTCTCTTCTAAATGCAACAATTGCAATATGTGTTGTTGACTCGTCGCTAACCCGTAACTTTGATCGTCCGCAGCTGCTACCGACTAGGCAGCTAGCCCCTTATAGCATCCACATTAATTGCTTACCTGGCTACCATGTTTCGTCGGGTGCACGCCGTCAGCCTTCAGCATCCCCATCAGCTCGCATGTGCCGTCCACGAAACCGTAGCCGTTCTTGTGGCACAGCGCCTGCAAAATGGCATTCGTCTCCCCGGCATCCGTGTTGAACGCCTCCAATTCTCTGACAGACAGCGCCCACTGGCACTTGCGCAAACTCGCTTGTCTCGGCAGAATTGCAGACACTACAACACGGATTGACGGATTGACATCAAGAATTCTGGAGATCAGTGATCGGAACCTGGCAATCAGCACGAGGGGTTCTTCACCGACATTGTTAGTGCCAACGTGAAGAATGACCACGTGCACATCTTCCAGAGAATGAGCAATTAAAGAGAACAATTTCTCGATCCGCACAACGCTGAATGAGCGAACCTCGACATGTGTCCTGGAGCTCAATGTGAAAGACCCTGCGAGGTACTTCAACATTGAGTCTCCGGCAAGTGCACGGGTCATGTTAGGGTTGGCTTTTCAGCAGCCGCACACGAACACTTCAAGCACACTTAGACAGAGAAATAAATGCGAACAAACTACAACGCGAAAAGTGCAACAGAATTGACAGGCACAACTGGAAGATCACATGCAATCTCCAACACGATACGGTAGCAGAATCCGCCGGCTGTCAACGGTTAGAATGGTCCGCACAGTCAACCGCACAACCAACGCCGACTGCGTTGACACAACTGACCACCACTGAACAACGAGGGCAGTAGGTCCGTTCGATTCACCTGCACCAATTGGAACCAGTTCACGACTGCGCACGCGAAGTTCAGAAATTGTGCAGCGTGAGTTCAGCGGTGCAGGCACAGCGCGACCCCCGAAACGAATGACGATGAGCCAACAGTTTACGCCGTACAGCTAACACTGAACGATGGCGAACCACACATGTGGACAGTTTATGAGGCGCAAACATATTGGCGAAACACACCGCGTTTGTAGAGGCGGGTATGAAGCCTAAGCCACCTACGCTAAAGTGCTGCATCGTCTGCTCAGCTGCACATGCGGCTGCACCAAGCCAGCACCGTCAGTGCAGGTGGTGCAGGAAAATCTTGAACCAGTGCTGCCCCTCTTCTGCACCTTTTGAAACGAATGACAGAGTTAAAAGGTCGTCAATGCTGCACCGCTGAAACGAACGACAAAGTGCAGCACCCTGTGAACTGGTTCACGTGATGCAGGTGAATCGAACGGATCTAGTGCTAGGGAACAAAGTTTCGAAATGAGAGCTTTTACCGGTATGCTTTCTGCGCGCGCGCCAAAGGCGGGCGCAAGGCAGTATGGGAAGGCGAAGCGCAAGCTGCTGCAGGGCTTCGGCCGCCGAAGTTTCGTCTGCTCGACTTGCATCCTTGCTTGCAGCGCGTGGGAGCGTGTTGCGCTGTTGCAGCGCGTGCATGCGAACACGTTGTTGCAAGACTAACGCGGGTTTGTGAGTACGTAACGTACACATACCGATAAATCCACCGACAATAGACAGGATGCAGTATATTTGGTTCCTAAGTGGGTGATCAAAAACTCCTTAAACAGGAATGGCTGTGCAGCTGGGCTGGGTCGTCCGGTGCTTCCTTGGTAATTTTTCATGGCAAATTCTGGTATCTATGCAGCGTCTGCATTAAAGAAAAAAGCAGTGTTAGGTGTCAGTGGAATTTCGAGGTATGAGCTAGCCGGAGGACGTTTGCACCTTTATGTTTTCCTTGCGGCACACAGCCCTTGCAAGAGCGAAACAGGCTATCAATACAGAGTTTCAGTGCGGTGGCTCCAAGTGGCTTGCGTACATGAGCCCTTGCGTTCTTTTGTATTCTCCACAGGTGCGGCGGTGAGTTCAAAGAAACGCGATAGCGTGCGCGTGCTACAGGCAGCTAGGGGTACCCGATATTGAAACGCGCGTGTGCACGCACGCGCGCGCCCGTGTGGATGCGGATGCTGCTATCGGGTACACACACACACACAAACACACACACACACACGCACACACACACACACACACACACACACACACACACACACACACACACATATATATTGTTACGGTGCGATGGATGCCTTTATTTACAGGAGATGATCAATGCGAGAGTCCAGGGATCTGGCCGGTCACTGCTCGTGCCAACCTCGTTCTCCTCTTCTTCCACGCGCATCCTCAGTATCGTAGCAATTCCCCCTTTGCAGACGATGCCCACCGGGCGAGTTAGGCTTCGTTGCGATGATGATAGCGTTTTAAACGGGCAACATGAACGACCTTGGTCTTGCTTGAGCGGCGGCAAGTTGACAACAGCTGAGATATCACGTACGTGACATCGCTTAGACGTTCCAAGACAACAAACGGACCGGTGTAGTTGGCCAGAAACTTTTGGCAGAGGCCGCGCTTGCGAAGCGGCGTCCAAAGCCACACCAAATCCCCTTTCTCAAACCATACGTGCCGGTGACTTCTGTCGTAACGGTTTTTGGAGCGTTTCTGTGAGACGAAAGTTCGAAGACAGGCGATGCGCCGGGCCTCTTCTGCGCGGCAAATGGTTTCGGCGAGAGTAGGCTGATCAGTCTCGGAAAAAGGAAGAATAGTGTCAAGAGCTGTGCGGGGTTGGCGTGCGTAGAGTAGATAAAATGGACTGTATCTCGTTGTTTCGTGCTGTGCCGTGTTGTAGGCGAAAGTTATAAATGGCAAAATCGCGTCCCATGTTTTGTGTCCAGAATCAACATACATGGAAATCATGTTGACGAGAGTCCTATTTGTTCGTTCCGTCAAACCATTAGCCTGCGGGTGATACGGGGTAGTGTGACGAAAATGGCACGAAGCAAGACGAAGGAGGTCTTCAACTACATCGGCAACAAATTGCCGCCCGCGATCACTGATGATGACACGGGGGGATCCATGGCGTAATATAACGTGTGACAGCATATATAACGTGTGACAGCATGAACTGTGAAACTTGAGTGGCCGTTGCCGCAGGAATCGCCGCAGTTTCGGCGTAACGTGTGAGGTGGTCAACGCCCACAATAATCCATCGGTTGCCGTTCATTGATCGCGGAAAAGGGCCGAGCAGGTCGACACCTACGACGTCAAATGGTGAACTCGGGGGTGCTATGGGATGAAGTAGTCCGGCTGGCGGAGTTGTAGGACGCTTGTGGCGTTGACATTGCTCACAGCTCGCAACGTATGCAGTCACACTTTTACGCATCTTCGGCCAGAAGAAGCGTTCTTGCGTGCGATAAAATGTCCTAGAAAAACCCATATGGCCAGATGTTGGGTCGTCGTGCATTGCTCGAAGTACGTGTTGTCGAAGACTTGTAGGCACAACTAGAAGTAGGCGAGGGCCTACGCCGGAATAATTCTTTTTGTAGAGAACGCCATCCTTTACGACGAAACCACGTTGACCGTTCGTTCCGGAAATAAAGAAAGAAGCGAGACTGTTGTCATTGCGTTGCTCTGCTCGAAAAGTTGTTAGGTCGGGGAACGGAGTATCCACTACAGCCAAATATTCATCAAAGTTGTCAGCGTCACACTCGGTTGTCGGAAGGGGAAGTCGTGAAAGGCAATCAGCGTCGGCATGACGACGACCGCTCTTGTAGCAGACTTCAAAGTCGTGTTCTTGCAATCGTAATGCCCAACGAGCAAGACGACCAGATGGGTCCCGTAGTCCAGTGAGCCAACATAAAGAATGGTGGTCCGTGACAATCGAGAATCGGCGGCCATAGATATAAGGCCGAAACTTGTGCACGGCGAATATGACCGCGAGACATTCCTGCTCTGTGACAGTATAGTTTCGCTCCGGCTTACTTAAACAGCGACTGACATAGGCAACGACGTGTTCAGCAGCTCCATGGCGTTGGACCAATACGGCGCCAATACCTATACCACTGGCGTCGGTATGAACTTCTGTGGCAGCAGATGGGTCATAGTGGCGAAGTACGGGCCCTGACGTAAGAGCAAACTTGAGTTGCGAAAAAGACGACTCGCATTCCGCTGACCACCGAAAAGGAGCGTTCTTGTTGAGTAGGGACGTCAAAGGCTAAGCGAGGTCGGCGAACCTGGGCACGAAGCGACGGAAGTACGAGCATAGGCCCAAAAAGCTTCGCAACTCTCGTACCGACTGAGGTTGTTTGAAGCTGCTGACTGCTGCGACTTTCTGGGGGTCGGGTCGAACGCCATGCTTGTCCACCAGGTGACCGAGAACGAGAGTCTCGCGGCTGCCAAAGTGACACTTCTTAGAGTTCAGGGTGAGCTTAGCTCTCTCAAGGCAGGTGAGAACAATGTCTAGACGATGGTTGTGTTCATCGAATGTACGGCCAAATATTATAATGTCATCCAGGTAGCAAAGACAAACTTCCCACTTTAATCCACGTAACACAGAGTCCATGAAGCGCTCAAATGTGGCTGGAGCGTTGCATAGGCCAAACGGCATTACATTGAATTCAAATAGGCCATCTGGGGTTATGAAGGCCGTTTTCTCTTTGTCATTCGGGTGCATGGGTATTTGTCAATAACCAGATCTCAAATCCACGGATGAGAAGTACGATGCCGAATGTAAACAATCGATGACATCATCAATCCTGGGAAGCGGGTAGACATCCTTTTTAGTAACAGAGTTGAGCCGTCTGTAATCCACGCAGAATCGCCATGTACCATCCTTCTTTCGGACAAGAATCACAGGGGCAGCCCAAGGGCTACACGACTCTTGAATAACCCTTTTCTTTAACATCTCTTCTACCTGTTGAGTAATGACCTTGCGCTCCGCAGATGAGACACGGTATGGTTTCTGCCGGATAGGGTGAGCGGATCCTGTGTCAATCCCATGGTGAGTACGCCACTCGGGTACACTTATTTGCTCTTCTTTCTGCGCAAAGTCAAATATAGTAGCGTGCTTCGCAAGGACTTCGACCAAAGCTTGACGTTTTTCTGATGTTAGCGACTTGTTTACCATACTCAGAAAGTTGGCTTCTGTATGGTACGTTGCACAAATAGGATCTACTCTCTCGTCACTTAAAGATGCAATGAAACTAGTCACATTTTGTTCGAAGCGGGCGAGTCGCATTCCGCCGGGTAGCATAACAGGTTCATTTGAATAGTTCGACACCCATAAGGCCGATCGCCCATCACTGATCGACAGAACACAATGTGGAATGAGCACATTTTTCTTGGCGCAATTAAGAGGAATGGGCTCCACAAGAACATCGAACTTTCCGGCGTCCGAGGCAGGGGCGTCAACGCGTACGGTCTTCATCGAGTTGGGCGGCAAGACAACATCCTCAATGACGGTGATAGATCCTTGACAACACCTAGGATCGTCAGTAAATGCCGATAGCATAATCTCGCCAGCACCGCAATCTACGGTAGCCCCGCACTCGCGTAGAAAATCGATGCCCAAGATGATGTCATGGGTGGAGCTTGTCAGGACGGCGAATTCAGCCTCGAAGACCTTGTCACCCAAAGTGACACTAACAACACACACACCGATCGGGCACAATGTCTCCCCGCTCACTGCACGAAATGATGCACAACTGTCCCAGCGAAACATCACTTTATGTCCTAGCCGCAATTTGAAGTTAAGACTCATTATTGAAACAGCTGCTCCAGTATCTATCAAAGCCATCGTAGGAAGTCCATCAATAAGCACGGGGACCCTATTTTGAGTCATAAAAACGGGTGGAGGCATAGGCGGATGTAGTGACAAATGTTCGGCGACCTCACCTCCATTGGCCGCACCACTTAGTTTCCCGGAGGCGGGGAGGTGACGCGTCGACCAGGAGATGGGGAACGGAACCGGCGTGTTGTGGGGGGCGTCAAGCTTCGCACGGAGGAAGGCGAGTCGTTGCGTAAATTCCGGTGGAAATTGCGTCCTACATGCGTATCACTGTGGATCGTTTGCTGGAAACCGTCCCCATCGTGCGCGTCCCGCATTGAACGCATACCACCGCGCCAGCGGTTTTGTCG